CGTCCCTCATTCACACTTCTTAAAACTTAGAGCAAATGCAAACTTCCCCCTCTGTGGCTACTCTGCTTTCAACATGCTCACATCCGATAAGCTTTCCTGACAGCTAGTGTTCCAGAACCACCGTCTGCTTTATCCGTGTGGAGGTCCAAAGGAAACAGGGAAGGATCAGCAGCTGTGATTACAAATTACTGTACTACATATGAATTGTGATTTTGTAGAGGCTTCCATTTTCTATTTAATTTTACCCATGGCAATTTTTTAAGTAAAGAGCATCTGTGGCACTATTTATTTTCTCATTAAATTGGAGAGTGTAAGGGAGAAGGGGATTATCAATACCCAGGTATGGCTGTGAAATATATCATGTGTAACTATGTCAACAAGCAGTCCTGTGTATCCCAGAGGAAAAAAGGCTGAGAACAAGTGCACTAGAGGTCAGTGATAACTCTGCTGCCAGACTCTAGTTCTGTTTCATAGCCCATTCCTGGGAGTTTGGTTTCAAAGGCGTTAGGAAGTCACAGGTAGGGGAAGAAGTCAAATCATACTGTTTGTCTACCCCCAAGATTGTGTAATGCTTCTTGTCTCAGAGTAAAAATAAGGTCCCTACAATGTATACAAGACCCTAGGTGTTCTGCACCCCTGCCCCCTCACTAATCTGTCCCTCCTATCACCTCTCTGACCTCACTCCTTCAGAGTGCCCTCCTCCCTCTGCCCCAGCCACACTGGTCTCCTGGTTCTTCCCATGGCACACGCCTGCCTCAGGACCTTTGCATTTACTATTTCCCCCAGAGTTGTGAATGGCTCTCTCTCCCCCACCTCCTTCAATTCTTTGGTCAAGTGGCATTTTTTTTAAGGACATACAAAAAACAATATTTTTTTACTTTCAAGAATGCTGCTAGCCAAGAGTATCATGTTTGTCAGTGCCCATAACACATTTAACTAGCCATTTTACAAAAGTTTCCCCCCCAAATCATAATGGACAAATACAATCATCAGCAGTTTGACACAAGAAATGCTGGCCACACAAACAGCAGAGGCCTGATTGAAATGTCATCAAACCAACTTGGCCAGCCAGAAAGAAAAGTGTCCAACTCAATACCATAAGAATCTGACACAGATAACTGCATACCCAAGTATCATGAATTCTCTTGGATTCTACAGGTAATTTGTCTCAACAGTGAGAATGTTAACTCAAAAATTTGTAGCTTCTCATAATCAACAAAATTTAGTATTTAAGATTCTTGACATCAAACTAGAATCCTTATTAATGGCCATGTGGAATCTAAGTTTGAAACATAACAGCCAAAGTGAACCTCACTGAGACTTTCTCTGAGCACCTTATTTACACAGCAGAATTCACCAGGCTTCCTATCCCCTTGCATGTTCCTGTCCCATGCACTCCTCATCTTTCAGTAAAGGAGTACTCATTTATTTTGTTTTCAGTCTGTCTCCTTGTGCGGCTGGAATGTAAGCTCCACAAGGCAGGGATTTGTGTCTATTCTGTTCCCTGCTATATTCCCAGTGCCGACAACAGCACCTGACAGAAGCAGGTACTTGATGAATGCTTATTAAATGTTGAACAGACCTTGAGGACAAAGATTTTCAGTTACTTTACCTTTAGGAAGCACCCTATTGTCTTTCTTACTTTCTCTTTTATTTTTTTGGTAACAGCAACAACAACCAAAAAAAAAAAAAAACAACCCAAAAAACAAAAAAAACCCTGCCTTTCTAAATACGCTTCACTTAGATTAAACTCAGAATAAGTCAGCTGATTTTGCAAAGACACTGGCCACATCATTTTGGGGTCAGGGGTGACAACCTGGGTTTAGAAACTAATTATAATTGACCAGTGAAGTCCAGGGTCAGCTGAGTTTATGTGACCCTGCTTATAAAAACAACCCTCAGGGCTTTTGTTTCCTTTCCTACTGCTTTCACATTCAGCTGCCCAGCCCACCCAGTAGCCAGAAAGAAACTGACACACACAAAAAATGTGGCTCTCCCAAGGCTATTTGGTTGGTGAAAGCAGTCATGCTCCCTTCAAACATTTGTTCATAACCCATTCCTTAATCCTGCAAGACGCCGTGCTCGCATTTGGGTCTGAAGACAGTTCCTGCGGCTCATGTGCCACTCACCGTCACCTCCCCAAGCTCTGAGGTCTGTTATGGAACAGCCTCCAAGACTCACTTTGAAACTGTGGTCTAGGGTTGCCCAGTGAAAGGAAAAGACTCAGATGCACTGAGCCTGGCTCCTGCTTGCTGCTGGTGAGGCTAAGTGGGAGTCCCCTGGTTCCCCACAGACCCTCCCCTTCCTGGGGAAGGAAATCTATCATCAGGAAGGCAAATTGTAAAGATGCTCAACCACTAAAAACATATTCCCACTTAATATGGTTTTCCCTGTACCCAAAGACTCTTACACAAGTTAGAAGGGGACATGTTCTCCCAGACGATTACACTGGGCTCCCTCTGAGGATGTGCCCTAGGGTCCAACTCTGGCCTCTGAATCCCCCACTAAAACCAACAACCTCACTGTGACACAGGACACGTTAAAGACAGCAGACCTGCCACTCTGTTAGATGGTGATATGTCCTATCACTACAGGGAGAATTGGAGGTGGGGGGGGGGGGGGGAAGAGCTCCCTGTAATGCTCCGTTGCCGTTTAAAGAGTATCTATCAGACCCTAGCTCCCAGAACCACTCTGAAGCCTTTTGCCCCTCTTTCTTAGACTTTTCTCCCTCTAGTAAGTTAACAACACAAATCCAAAGTTCAGTGTTTCAAGAACAATAAAGGTGTGACAATGAGGTGACTGGCTTCTGTGCATCACTGAGGAAAACAAGCAAGCCCCCTTCCGAAGGAGGGTGACCCAACCCCCACCCCCACTTCCCTCAGAGCAGCCCACATTCTCAGGTGCGCCTATTGTCCTTCAGGGCCACCAGCCTGTGAAAACACACCTGAAAGATACACTGCTCAGCAGAGTCAAAGGAAAGCTTCTAGAATCTCAGTAGACCAAAGAAGGAATATAATCTGAAGATTATTCTTCCCAACCCCTAATGCGGGCAGAACATAATTCAGAGAACCAGCTAGGTGGAACTCAATTTGACAGCAAATCTCGGGCTGTAAAACACATGAACTGGACTAACTGAGTCAAGCAGAGGCCACCTGACACCATCAGCAACCAAGCAAGTGAGTGCTGACGCTCTTACAAAGCCTGGAGCCCAGGGGGTGCCCGTAGATGAGCACACAGACGGCTCTGCTCTCTGGCACCCCCTGGCCGGCTCCTCGCCCTTCCCGAGCACCACTCCTCCCTTTCGAGCTGCGGCACTCACTTTGAGGAAGCCTCTCGTTAAGGACATGCCGGTCCCTAACCAGGATCCCTCCGGGGGTCCGTCGCGGTCGGCTGTGGGAACAGCTGGGGCTTCGGGACGCGCCGTGCCTGTGCCGGGCCTGGGCCGTCTGGAGCCAGGTGGCCGCAGAGCGCGGCCCTCCGACGGCCTTATCGGCAGCAGAGGCTCCCTATCGGGCTGCCCCGGAGCTCAGCTCTCGGGCGGAGGGGAGGAGCCCGCCTGGGGCTCGCAGATTACGGCAGCACCCTCGCCGGCTCCCGCTCCCCCACCCTGGGCGCCGGGCCCAGCTCACCAGGCCGCGAGCGGGGACGGCCAGCCCCTTCCGAAAGGTGCGCCGGAGGGAGGAGGCGAAGGGAGGATCTACTCGCCACCTCTCCCTCACGGGCCGGCCGGCGGGCCGCGCGGGTCCTCCAGAGGCAAGGCCTCCCAGAGGAGGCTCCAGGAGACAAAGACCCCAGGAGGGGGCAGCGTTCCGTGCATGGGCAGAGGACTTTGGGGGAGCCGCTGGCCTTCTGTGCTAACCAGCCCCTGGTGGGCAGGGGCCTGCGGCTGTGGCCCTCTGTTTTTAACATGCTTTCACTGGACGGCCCCCATGTTCCTGAATTGCTGAATTGCAGGGAATCTGGGCACAACCTTAATAATATCAGGGCCCAAAATAACAAGGTTCCTGGGAACCAGAGGTGAGTCACCACAAACAGCCGCTTAGAGGGAAGGGGGGCCAAGGCAGCTCCCCACACCACAGCTTCCAAGAGGCGGGGGCTGCCCACAGAACCAGTGCGGGGCCCATCTCAGGCCAAGCTGCTGCAGGCGACCCTTGGGAAGGCTTCTTTTGCAGCATCCGTCCATCACACAGTGGGATGAGGTGGCATCGTCCCAGAGTGGCTTTATTCGTGAGAACACTGTGCCCTGGAGTAGCAGTTGGTGGCTGGCAGAGGGGACAGATGACCCAAAGGATCGGAGCTGAGCTGTAAGGCCTGGAGAATGGCAGTCTCCCTGGGGCCTGGGAGTGGCTTCACCTAGATGGGGCTGCCATGTATGTGAGATGTATCCTGGTTTTCCTCTCAAAAGCATATTGACACCTCTGTGGTCGTCCTGCCCAGGAAGGCTCACTCTGTCCTCGCTCACATGCCTCTCAGCCTCCCACTAGACTGAGGCTGGTCCAGGTCCCCTGACAGGCAACCATCTGGCTTAGGAGCTTTCCTGCAGATCCAAACGGTCCTGTTGTGAGGGCACAGCGGCCGTGGAAAACGTGACCGAGGGCCACTCCATGACCCTCTGTTTTCCACAGCAGCTGGAAAGCACCCCAGTGCAGGCTGGTCTCCAAGCAGACCAGCACCTGACGTGGTGTGGGGAGGGCAGAGCAGGTTCTGGGCCACATTTTGACTAAAAATAACCACCACAATCATTATAGAACAAGTCCTTACAGATGTCTTTTGAAGCATATAATAAGAAACAATGGCTTTTGTTTTTTAAGGGGCCCAGAAGCCTAAAAAATGTGAAAGAAGCCGGTCATGTTAGGCATGACTTCAACCAACTCTACCACAGGACAAATGGTCTTACTTGCCAACAAATATTGGGCTAGCCTAGTCCACCATGCAGAGTGTTGCCCCGCACCTCACTTAGGTGTAGGAATGGGTTTGGAATCGATCGTGTGTGGATTGGTACATTGCACATTCTCAGTAAAGGTTTCTGGAATTAATCCATGGTTGTCACCAGCAGCATGATAAGAGCAAGAAGCCATTTCACCATCCAGAGAAGAGGAAAGACTGTTTTTCTCTTCAGAGTTTCCAGTCCCTGAGGAAAAAAGGCCAGCAAGGAAGCATGGAGTATAACACAATTTAGAAAATGCCCTGTAAGTAGAAACAAATGTCAAATCTTTGGCAAGGGTAGACCGTCAGGCAGGCTTGATGCTTTGTGTGAGGTCCTCGTGTGTTACTTCCTGTGGCAAGACAGTCCCCCACAGGTCCCTGAGCCCTACACTCCAGCAGCTGAGTGACTCGGAGAGCTGGGGCACCTCAGAATTTAATCCCAGAACCACATCCCCCCCAGGCAACCCAAGGTTCTTCTCTCGTGGATACATCAAGGGCTGGGGGAAGGCCAGGCACATGTGGGGCAAACTAACAACCAGGCTCAAGGGATCAGGACCCGCCACGCCAGCAGCTGGGTCTCAAAGAAGTGGACCCACGACATGCGTGATCCCCCCGAATTCATCCCTGGAGCAGCGTTCCCTGGGTCAGTCAGGCAGGGATGGGTGCTTTTTGTGATATGGGCTGAAGTGACATTGTCACTCCCTTGTCAGCAGACTTCTCTCAAGAGCTTTCACAAGCTCTCTGCCATGTAATACCTTTTTCTTTCTTCAGTCTCTCAAAGGGAGCCACAAAGCTGTCCCAGCACGTGATGTGCAAGCCCAGGCTATTTCGAGATTGGGAGGATGCCTTGAAAATTCAGCACTGCCTTCCCCCCCCCCCCGTGCCCCCGACCCCGGGTCTTTCACAAGCCCCTCTTCTCTTTGTTTGGTTTATATATTTACATACGACTTTATATCCAGTGCTTACTGTGTGGCAGGCACTGTTCCAAGCACTTGACATTCATTTACATAATTCTTACAATTCATTTGTGAAGAATTATTTACTATCAGTAGGCCCAGTTTATAGATGAGGAAACTGAGGCATGGAGCAATCAAAAAACCCACTTAAGAACAGGCAGAGCCAGCTTCCAGCCCAGGCAGTCTGAATGTAGGGTCTGGACCCCAACTGGGTTATTGTGCTTTAGGATCAACACTTTAATTTTGTTCATGATTTGCCAATCCATTTTCCTTCATACTAATCAACATTAATATATTTTGTTCATTAATTATCAATTAATTTTTCTTAATACTAATATATTCATTCCATTACTAATAAGTATATACTATAAAAATTCAACAACTGTTGGATGTTGCAAATATTGTTGTTTTGCAAGTATTTTTTTAATGTTTATTTTTTTTAATTTTTTAAAAATGTGTATTTATTTTTGAGACAGGAACAGAGCGTGAACAGGGGACGGGCAGAGAGAGAGGGAGACACAGAATCTGAAACAGGCTCCAGGCTCTGAGCTGTCAGCACAGAGTCCAACGCAGGGCTCTAACCCACGAACTGTGAGATCATGACCTGAGCCGAAGTCGGACGCCCAACCGACTGAGCCACCCAGGCTCCCCTGTAATGTTTATTTTTGAGAGAGAGAGAAAACGCAAGAGCGGGGCAGGGGCAGAGAGAGACAGAAATCCTAAGCAGTCTCTGCGCTGTTAGTGCAAAGCCTGAGGCAGGGCTCAAAAACACGAACCGTGAGCTCACGACCTGAGCCAAACAAAGTAGGATGTTCAACCGACTGAGCGACCCAGGCGTCCTTCTTGTGTTGGTGTTCTATTTTTCAAAGATGATAAATAAGTCAATAGAAAAAGGTTTTAATAGGTTTTTATTATGAAACCAATAAGACATCCTCATTGAAAAACATACAGTCTTTCATCTGGTTCCTTTTACCTCATGTCCCCACTACTCCCCAGACAGTTGTCAACACCACCCCAAACTTTGTGTTCATCAGTCCCTTGCTCCTCTTTCTAGTTTTGCCACCTCTGTATGTATCCTTCTGAACAATGTATTGTTTAATTTTGCATGTTTTCTGACTTTGAATAAGTGGAATTATGGAATAGCTTCTCCAGCTATTTTCATTTCTTATGCAACATGATGTTCCTGAGATTCAGCCAGGAGTGGTTTATTAATTTTCACTGCTGTACAGTATTCCATTGTATGCAAACACCAGGAATTATTTATCCATTTTACTGCTAATGGAATCTGAACTGTCTTCAGCTTTTCGCTATTAAAACATTACCGCCACAAGCATCCTTGTAAGAGCTTCGTGCTGCATGTGTGCAAGATTTGTCTAGTGCGCACATGGGCGGGAGCAGAATCCCTTCCCTGTAATGTACATACATCTTCACTTTTACTGGATAACGCCGAGCTGTTTTTGAAACTGGCTGCTCAATTTGTACTCCTAATAGCAGGTGGTGCTGTTGGTCCTAAAGTTTGTCGGACTTTTAAACTTTTGTGAAACTGGCAGGTGTAAAATGGTATGTCGTTACAGTTTTAATTTGCATTTCCCTAATTACTAAGGTGGTTGGGCAGCTTTGCACATGTGTATTGGCCACTTATTTTCCTCTTCTGCAAAATTACTGTTAAGCAGCCCTTTGCCCATTTTTCTGTTCTGTTGTTTGTCTTTCTCTTATTGACGTGGAGGAGTTCTTTCTATAGTCTGGATAGGAATCATTTATTAATCACATGCATACAAATATCTTCTTCCAGTGTGTGGCTCATCTTTTTACTTTTTAAAATAGTATCTTTTAATGAACAGAAGTTGTCAATTTTAATGTAATTAAATATAACAATCATTTCCTTTGTGACTGGTGCTTTTTCTGTCATGTTTAAGAAATCCAACCCTAGGGGCAGCTAAGTGGCTCAGTCATGTTGAGTGTCCGACTTCAGCTCAGGTCACAATCTCACAGTTCGTGAGTTGGAGCCCCGCATCGTGCTCTGCCATCGGCACAGGGCCTGCTTTGGATCTTCTGCCCCTGTCTCTCTCTGCCCCTCCCCTGCTTGTGCTCTCTCTCTCAAAAATAAATAAACATTAAAAAAGAGAGAGAGAGAACTCCATCCCGAACCTGAGCTCATAAGCACATTTTCCTGTATTGTAAATATTTTATAGTTTTGATTGTTACATTTAGATCTTTCAATCCACATGGCTTATTTTTTTTTTTAATTTTTAACATTTACTTATTTTTGAGAGACAGAGCACGAGCAGGGGAGGGGCCGAGAGAGAGGGAGACACAGAATCTGAACCAGACTCCAGGCTCTGAGCTGTCAGCACAGAGCCCTATGCAGGGCTTGAACTCACAAACCATGAGATCATGGCCTGAGCGGAAGTTGGACGCTTAACCAACTGAGCCACCCAGGCGTCCCTCACATGGCTTATTTTTGTGCATAATATGAATTAAGAGTTCTATTTTTTCCCTATAGAGCCTTGATTATCCTAGCACCGTTTATTGAATAACCTGTCCTTTCTCCACTGAAGTGCAGCACCATGCCCATTATGGTGGTGTCTCCACGTACATGGGTCTATTGGGGGCTCTCTCCTATTACCCTCTGGCCTGTGCATCTATCTCATTGCCAGTATCATGCTGTCTTCATTGCTATTGCTTTATCTTAAGTTTAATATTGTTCGTAATAAGTCTTAATGTTATCTTGCTTTAGTCCTCTTTAAAAGTATCAAAGCTTCTCTTGGCCCTTTGCTCTTCTACATACATTTAGGAAAATGCCACACACACACACACACACACACACACACACACACACAAACTCTCTAGGGATTTTGCCTTCAACTACATAGAATTTGTTTATCAATGTCAAGAGAAGTGACTTTATGATATTGAATCTTTCAATTCTGTATACTGTGTATCTATATACACATTCAAGTCTTTAATGTCTTATAATTTTCTCCATAAAATATCTTTCCCATTTTTTTAGGTTTATTCCCTGGGATCTGGTCATTTTAATGCTGTTAAAAGTGAGATCTATTATTCTATTTTTATTTTATTATTACAGTGTATAGAAATATTATCAATTTGTATCTTGAACTTGTAACCAGCAGTTTTGTTGAGTTCTTTTATTAGTTCTAATAGTTTCTGTCCATAATTCTCTTTGATTTTTCTCTATAGACAGTTATTATTCATAAATGAGGACATTTTGGTCCCTTTTGCTCTTTTTATACCCCTTATTTTCTTTTCTTGTCTTATTACATTGGGTAAGACATCCAGTACACTGTTGAACAGAAGCAGTGATGGCAGCATATTTATCTAGTCACTGACTTAAATGTGGCTGCTTTTAAAGCTTCACCATTAAGCATGATGATGTGTAGGTTTTTGTGGATACCATTTATTAGTTAAGGAGGGTACTTTCTAGTTCCAGTTTATTAAAAGCTTTTAATCAGGATTGAATGTTGAAATTAAAGTTTTTGTTTTCCTTTTCTGTGAAGGTGTTGCATTGCATTAATAGATTTTTCTAATGCTAAACTATCCTTGTATTCCTGAGTTAAACTCCTCTTGGCCATAATATATTACTTTTAATATAGCACCACTGATTAGAGTTGTGACTTTTATTTTTTTTTAAATTTTTTTTTAACGTTTATTTATTTTTGGGACAGAGAGAGACAGAGCATGAACAGGGGAGGGGCAGAGAGAGAGGGAGACACAGAATCGGAAACAGGCTCCAGGCTCTGAGCCATCAGCCCAGAGCCTGACGCGGGGCTCGAACTCACGGACCGCAAGATCGTGACCTGAGCTGAAGTCGGACGCTTGACCGACTGAGCCACCCAGGCGCCCTGAGTTGTGACTTTTATATAGGATTTTTGCATTCATAAATCATACTGGTTGTATTAATTTGGTACTGCTGCATGACAAATTACTCCACTCTTTTAGAAATGTAAAATCACACAAATTTTGTATTTCACAGCTTCTGGGGGTCAGCAATTCAGGACCAGCTTATCTGAGTCTTTCACGAAATTGCAGTCAACCTGTAGCTAGGGTTGCAGTCATCTGCTCGCTTCACTGGGACTGCAGACTCCACTTCCACAGTCCTCAGATGGCTCACTCAAATGGCTATTGGCAAAAAGCTTCAATTCCTCATCTCGTGGACCTATCCATAGAGCTACTTACGTGTCTTCATAACATGGCAGCTGGCCTCCCCCAGAGTGATTCAAGAGAGCACGACAGAAGCCACAAGCCTATTGATGATCTAGTCTGGAAGCCATCACACATCATCACTTCTACCATATTCTATTTCCTAGAAGCAAATCACTAAAATCCAGCCCACACTTGAGGGCATGGGCATTGGTCAAAGGAAGCGGATCAAAGAATTTGTGGACGTATTTTAAAACTATGGCATTGGACTATTATTTTATTTTCTTATATTGTCTTTGGTTGTCTTACCATCTACACTAAACTCATAAATGAGCTGGGGGTGGGGAGCTTTTCTTTCTTTTGTGTCCTCTGCAATGGTTTGTCTAGGAGAGGCGTTCATTGCTGCCTACAAAATCATCTAGTTCTCATGTCTTTTTCAAAGAGATAGTGACTATCGGGGAGGGAGGTTGCTGATTTGCTGGATTTAATGTTATACATGTATTCAGGCTACAAGCTTGTTAAGAGATCAATATCTGGGGAACATACTCCAGACTAAGAAAACTTTGTTCTCACTCTCTTAAACCTCACACATCTTTATGTACTCAGCACTGGCCTAAAGTGCTGAAAATTCTCACATTCAGGCAAAATGTAAAATAGAGAAGCAACCTCATTATTTTAAACAAGCACTTCAGGATGAAGAGTTGGGGGAATTGAAAGGTGAAAGATGTTAAATAATAAGCACTTAGTTAATAAAAGATAACGCAATAGTAGACTCCCACCTATTCTGGTAAATTTAGGATAGTAGCTCTCAAACGTTTTGGTCTTAGGAGCCCTTTACCTCTTAAACATAATTGAGGACCCCACAGAGCTTTTTGTAAATGTGGGCTATGTTTATCAATATTTACTATATTAGAAATTAAAATGGGCAGGGAGCTGTCTGGCTCAGTGGGTAGAACATAGGACTCTTGATCTTAGGATAGTGAATTCGAGCCCCATGTGGGACATGGAGCCTACTTAAAAAAAAAAAAAAAAAAAAAGAACCACTCTTTTGGGGTGCCTGGGTGGCTCAGTGGGTTGAGTGTCTGACTCTGTTTCAGTTCAGGTCGTGATCTCACAATTCATGGGATCAAGCCCCGTGTCAGACTCTGCACTGTCAGTGCTTGGGATTCTCTCTCCTTCTCTCTCTGCCCCTCCCCTGCCCGCATGTGCATGTGCACTCTCTCTCTCTCTCTCTCTCTCTCAAAATAAACATTACAGGGGCGCCTGGGTGGCGCAGTCGGTTAAGCGTCCGACTTCAGCCAGGTCACGATCTCACGGTCCGTGAGTTCGAGCCCCGCGTCAGGCTCTGGGCTGATGGCTCGGAGCCTGGAGCCTGTTTCCGATTCTGTGTCTCCCTCTCTCTCTGCCCCTCCCCCGTTCATGCTCTGTCTCTCTCTGTCCCAAAAATAAAAAAAAAAAAATTAAAAAAAAAAACGTTGAAAAAAAATAAACATTACAAAGATATATAGATATAAAGAAGTTAAAATTGAGAGTTTTAAAAACTAATATTTACTAATTCATTTGGACATAGCATTTCACATAGCCCATTTCACATTAACATAGATAAAATTTTTATGAAAAAAACTACATTTTCCAAAGCAAAACAGAAATTTACTAAGAAGGGGATTATTGCTTTACATTTTTGCAAATCTGTTTAATGCCTACCTTAAGAAAAGACAGCTAAATTCTCATATCTGCTTCTGCATTTAAGGTGTTGCAATATGTTGTTTTGGTTGAGGTACCGGAAGGACCTGGCCTCACTCAGATATGTAGTCAGGGAAGGGCAGGGTGTTTTCACAGTGTTTTCTATTAATCGTGTACATTCTTGTTAGTACACCAAAACTCAGTCAGTCTTCTCTTAAGGTTAGTTGCAATGTGAATCGCATCGAATATCAATGAACTTTTTTTTAAAGTTTATTTATTTTCAGAGGGAGAGAGAGAGAGTACGCGCGCACACATGCACACAAATCAGGGGAGGGGCAGAGAAAGAGGGAGAGAGAGAGAATCCCAAGCAGGCTCCATGCTCTCAGCACAGAGACTCACATGGGGCTTGATCTTAGGAACTGTGAGTTCATGACCCGAGCCAAGTTGGACGCTTAACCGACTGAACTTTTTATGTTCTTTCCACCATGAGAGAATGAACGGGAAAGGCCAAATGACATCTTAGTAAGAGTGAGGACAATCTTAGCCTCAGGACCTCTGGAAAGACCTGGGGGTGCTCCCTGAGTCCTCTGAAACTGCAGATTTTGGCACTCAAATATTCTCTGATGCTGAGACTCACGGCCCCAGAGGATGAGAGACTGGACGAGGACTCCTGTGTCCTCATTGTGGAAGGGAAACTGCAGCCCCCGACAGAATGGGATTTGTCCAGGGTTGTTGCAGAGCAATGTTCCTTGAGTCCCCTGCTCTTTCCACTACAGGGGGAAAAACCAGAAGGAAGATCAAGAAAAGGAAGAGGAAGAGCAGCAAGTCAATGTTCTAAGGTAGCAGACCACCACCGACTCCACTTCTGATGGTTTTATGTGCTGGTGATCCAACTGATGGCTCTTCCAGGCCCTTCTTTGCCTCAGAAGTCCCTTGTTTATGCCTGCATTTGACGTTTGTCTTAGACAGTCTCACCACCAAGAGACATGAGAAAAAGCCATCGAATTCAAATCAATAAAACTGTACTTCTTATCCTTTTAAGAGGAGGGCTGGAAGAATTAAATACTTGACCATAATAATAATAGCATTTATTAAGCACTTACTATGCACTTGTGTATGCATTCATTCATTCACTCTTTATTTCTTTCTTTCTTCCTTCTTTCCTCCTTCCCTCTTTAGTCTCTCCCCTCCTTCTCTCTCTCTCTCCTTCCTTCCTCCCTCCCTTCCTCCCTCCTTCCCTTTCTTTCTTCTTTCTTTCTTTCCTTCACTACTCACCAAGTACCTGTTATGTGCCAGGCATGTTACAACGTACACAATGGTAGAGAAAACAGACACAGTCCAAACACTTCACATCCATTATTCACTTATTAATCCAACAATAGGTGCGGTAGGCACTGTCAGAATGCCCATTTTAGTGATGAAGTCACTGAGGCAGGAGCGGTGCTTACCGAGGTCACAGAGCTAGTGAATGAATCTGGGTCTAACTCTGCAGCTGTTCCCTGTAAGCACAATAGTATATTGCCTCCAGAATGGCTGTGAGCCACTGGTAGTTTGTCTGAATTTATGCCTCCTGGAGTCCAGCATGGAAGATTGAGTCATTGCGCCACCCCTTTTGACTCTCTCACCTTCCTTCCCTGAACCCCTAACCCAACACTGTAACCTTACATCCAAGAGTCAGGACGTGGCTACACAGCTTGACAGGAATGGCAGGTCAGAGCCAGCTGTGTGCTAGACCTGGTCGAGTGGTGATGGTGGCGATGGTGATGAGGACAATGACAGCCTGGGGGAGGGGAAGGGCCAGTAACATCTCTGATCATCTCTAAAAGACTCTGAGGTAAGAGGTGGAAATCTAAGGACATTAACTTCCTCTTATATTTAAATTTGAGGGTAAAACACTGGTCTTCCAGGGGCCCTAGCCAAGGAAAGTCAGATTTGCATCATTGGATTTCCTTCTCTACAAGGGGGGAGGAGAAAAAAGGGAGCACTCGTTCTCTTTCTAGGAGAAGGTGGGGTGGAGTGAAAGGGGAGAAGGTGGAGAAAGGAGGGGAAAGGAGAGGGGGAGAGAAGAAGGAGGGAGGGGGAGTGGAGCCCTTTTCTGGAGAAGGAGCTTGTTGGGGCCGCTTCCCAGGTCAGCAGCACCTACCCTGAGGCCAGACCATAAAGGGTTTTCTGCAGGGGAGGATCAGTGCCTGCTCTGAGCACAGTGCTCTGTGGCTCTCTGCCACCCACCCACCCTGCACCCTGCACCTTCCAGTCCCACCCAAACTCCCATGGGGTCGTTTCAGTGCTGGAACAACTTTCCTGAAAGCCCCTTGTCATGAAGAAAACACTGGACTAGGAGTCAGACCGTCTCAATTTGAACTGAGCCTTTGTTACCTCAGGCTACAGAACCCAGAACCTGCTGCTTACTCTTTCTGGGCCTCAGTCCTCCTCATCCGTAAAATGGTACAAAAATACCTTCTCTGCCTGCTGCCTGGGATATTTATGAGGATCTCAATAAGTGCTCCATCTAAACGCACTTTATTATCATCATCAACCTACACCATAATCATGCTTCTAGATAATACATGCCAAAAGTGACAAATGCCCTAATTTATGTATTCCCTTGTTCCTGACACTTCACGAAGATGGGGGCTTTTCTGGCAGTGTCCAAAATTGCAGTAGCCTCTCATGCCCACTCACCTCCTTGGGCATCCATGGATTTCCCCAGGTTGACTTCCCCACCCTAGCCAATTGGGGGGAACACACTTATTTCTTTAAATACACAGGAAATGGGAATTTATCATAAGATAAAAGGGTTTGTTTTTTTTATAATCAGATAGTTTGGAAAAATGATAAAATAACTTGTCATCTTACTGTCTGAATATAACCACTATTGCAAATGGAAGATTATATCGAAGCAGGGTCATGAAGCCAGGCTTTGGAGTCAGACAGACCTGTGTTCTGACACTTAGCAGCTACATGACCTTGGGGCACCTTACTAATTTCTCTCAGTCCCAGAGAGAGTATGAATGCTCCCTCCAGTGGGAGATGTGGGAGTTGGGGGGGGGGGGGAGGAGTAACTGGGGGTAACACATGTGTAAAGCCCTGCCCCACAACAAGTGCTCAGGAAGTGTTAGCTGCTGTTATTTTTCTAGTGATTATCTCTGCAGACTTTTAAAAATGCATACATAATACACATAAGAATACCTATGGTTTCAAAAATAGGAGTCATGACATTTTATAACCTGCTTTTGTTAACAGCATATCATGTTTTTTCACGTGAGAAAAATTCACATCTGTGACATCTCTTAGTGCCTGCAGAAGGCGTCCTGAGGGTGTTTGCTATTTCATGTAACCTGTTCCCTATCGCTAAACACTTAGTTTCTTCCCAATTTTGGGGGGCTGATTTGAATAATGTTACAATTAATATTGTAAATGTTAATATTGTAATTATTAATATTATTAATAACATTAATGTTATTAATATTGTTATTATTTCCTTAGGTTCTTTCCCAGATACTTTTCTAGACTGGCTAACATCCAAGTTCATAAACATTTTTGAGGTTTCATGGGTTTCCAATTTTCCTCCAGAAAAATACAACTTCCCGCACCTGGCTAGCCATAGGTATTTGTTATTATTATTTTTTTAACTCTTTGATAAGCAGACTTTTTACTGTAGGATTACCATCCCACACCACTCACCCAGCTATGCCTGTCCTGTGAGTCTCCTGCCTTGGCGGTCTGGGGTCCTGACATCAGACCACCTCAACGTGGCTCCATCCGGGGCCTGCACTCCCCTGATGACACCCTTTCAAGAACTGTCCTTAGCTGGACAGTAGTTCTTAATCCCCACTGTGATCTCCTCCCTTACAGCTTATATCTTCTTTGTGCATATTGAGAGTTAAAGACACGACCACCTGAGTTAAAGACACGACCACCTGGTTTGGTCGTTCCGTATGCTGGCTTAGCAGAGATTTATTTACCTAATTATCCCAGTCCTTCGAGGATCCATAAAACAAACAGTGCATTTACACCAAATACGCACCTCGGTAAAAAACCTTCAAACCAGCAGGAGGTTTCCGTCTTATGATAATCATGGTAATAATGTACATTTGTAGAGCAATTTGCAACTTGCAAACATAATGACATACACTGTATGTGTAATACTCAAAACAATCCTGGGATTTTTATTATCATTAAAAATTATTATTTCTGGGGTACCTGGGTGGCTCAGTCGGTTAAGCATCCAACTTCGGCTCAGGTCATGATCTCACAGTTCACAGGTTCGAGCCCTGGGTCAGGCTCTGTGCTGACAGCTCAGAGCCTGGAGCCTGCTTCAGATTCTGTATCTCCCTCTCTCTCTGCCCCTCCCCCCACTTGCTCATGTTCTCTCTCTCTCTCTCTCTCTCAAAAATGAGTAAAATTAAAATATTTATTATTATTTCTGTTTTACAAAGGGAGAAACTGCAACTCAGAAAATCGTACTGAGTTGCCCATGACTAAAGCTGGAGTCTGTTCTTCTGACTAAATCCTAGATTCTCATGCCACTTTGTGAACATAAATTAACCATGTTATTGAGGGTGAATTGATCACTAGAGTTCTCCTACCGGGTATCCGATGGATGTGTGGGTAGAGGGGTGGTGGTTGGAAGAGAAGAGGAGGAGAAAGAGGGAAACAGAGAGAGGGAGAGGGAGAGAGAATTTTGCTTTGGGTTTCCTAAAATTCTAGCTTTACTGCCTATCTGATAATAATGTTTGGGGCCCTTGGGTGGCTCAGTCGGTTGAGCGTCCGACTTCGGCTCAGGTCAGGATCTCACAGTTTGTGAGTTCGAGCCCTGCGTTGGGCTCTGTGCTGACAGCTCAGGGCCTGGAGCCTGCTTCGGATTCTGTGTCTCCCTCTCTCTCTGCCTCTCCCCCACTTGTGCTCTCTCTCTCTCTCTCTCTCTCTCTCTCTAAAATAAATAAAATGTAGAAAAAAAATCCCAAAATTTAATGATAATGTTTAAAGTTGAATACTCTGTCTCAGGGTCATTCTGCAGCCCAGAAGGCATTTTAGACTCTTAAACTCTTCAGCTTATGCTTTCAGATGCGGCACAGATAGTCTGATTATTTATAGTCTGGCATTTCCTAAACGAGGCAGTGTTTGGGGAGGAAGTCAGCCATCCTGACAAATGCTGAATGTTCAAAATTCAGCTGAATAATCAACGAATCTAAAGTTTCACGTTAGAAGGTATGAAGGTGGAAGGCTGGTTTTTATTCTCCTCTGAAAGGTAAGTCCCAGGCTGTAGCCGCTCAGACTTGCTCCGCCCTTCCCTCGGGGCGCGGATCTGGCCTCTCTGGAAAGGAACTGGCTTTCCACAGGGAAGCCATCTGTAGCTCCTCCACGGAGGCCACCCTGAAGCCAGATCAGTGTCCCTCTTAATGGCCCTCAAACCCCCCGTCTGCATGCAAACAGACTACAGGCCCTTCGTTTCACACAGGATCATAGAACTCAAAGTGGGAACGGACCTCAAAGGTCATCTAGTGCCGGAGTCCTTCTGACATCCCTGGCGGGTAGTGGGGCTGCCTCCCCTTGACCTTCCAGAACATTGTCCCAGAGGCTCAGAAGGTCCTTCCTCGCACACAAGAGCTCCCTCCCTTTGGTCCCGGTTCTGCCCACCACCACCTTCCTCTTGGCTTCGATCCCCACAGAGGGCGGTGGCTGCCCCACATCCCCCAGACGGCCTCCCTTACAGACCAAGAGCCCAGGCCCTGCCTAGGGTGGGTATTCCCACCTGGAGGACGAAAGGAGATCATGCATGGACAGTGCTCACCATGGTGCCTGCACTTAGTATGTGCTCAGTAAACCTGGCTGTCTTTATTATCTATTCTCATTTCTCCAAGCAGACTTTTAGCATGTCCACATTTCTCACGGTCTTTCATCTGGACATCCTGACGCAACACTCCAGATACGTGCTAACACCAGATAGAACACAGTTATGATCTCCGTGTCTGAATATATTTAATGTTCTACCCCCACACACATAGTTAAATAAATATGCTGTGTCTGCAAGCAAGCAGTAAACTGGAAGGTTAACTAGTCCATGGCTGCAGAGGGGCCCAGCAGCACATTACTGGAACC